CAATAGCTTCAGGCCGAGCACACCAAGAATGTCATTTACTTTCTATTCCTCCGCAATTAACTTTTCTCGCACAGTATTCCCGAGTGCATATATAACATATTGCTTCGTATAAGCTCATTCCACTAGCAGTTCGTTCCACTTTCAAATGATCCAAATAACTTCCCCTTCAGCATGGCTTGGTTGTAAAAGCTGTTCAAACTGATAGCAAAGTGTGAAAAACAAAGGGTAGGAAAGTTTCCTTTTACAATGGAAATCAGACCGCTCACGTGTTGCTGGCCTCCCACAACCAAGTAATTATCGGATTTATGACGTGCTCAAATGAGCTAAATATTTAAGTTGGCGGGTGGATAAGTTCGTATTCGATATGGACTTCAAACTTGTTCTCCCCCTTCGCCTGCTCGCCCGTTTCGTCGTTCCACTGAGATTTCCGAGTACAGACTTTCACAAAATCTGTGCTGGATTAAATCGCTCCAATAAGTCCCTACAAGTGTATAGATTTGGATATCTAATACTAAATCGACATTTATGTTTTGAGTCAACGAATATAGGGTGCCAGTTCAGTGACCGGAATAGCTTTTTATGCCTCATCGCTTTTGTCAGTTTTCAAAATATTGCACAGGTTACTTCACTATGACTTATATACGCCGAGCAATTCAGCGACCTGGCCAGGGTTAATCCATCGCATTCAAAATTCTTAAGCCGTAAAGTGAAATATTGCGATCAACCTCGACTTTTTCGCGGCTGAATTGATCGTATGCTTGATGCAATGAACAGGAACTAATGTGCTCTTATCTGGACATTGTGGATAGTAATATCAAGGAGAGTTCCCTAATTGCGAGTATTATTAATTTGATAGTTTTTTTTGTTATTGTTGGTTTTTGCAGTTTTTACCGACATCATAATTAGGGAATGGAAATTCAGACGGAAACAACAATGGTGGTCGTTTGTGTAAAAGAAACTAGCAAATTGTCTGCAATATAAACGTTGCACATAGAATGCGAAATTGTGTTTCATTGGGCTGCTCTTGCTAGTTTTACTTAAAATGACAAAAAGTTTCAATGAATATTAAATAACCTAGTTTGTGAAAGCACTACGGCAAATGTCCTATTGCACAGCTGGGAAGGATAAAAATCAGTCACTCAATTAGTACAATTAAAAAGTCTGAGCACATGTAGCTAACGTCGAATAAACCGTCCTAATCAAGTGTTTTTAAAGTCCACAAGACTTAAATTTTCCCCGGTTCGAGCTCCAGTCCCTCCCTGCGAAATGGGCTGATTATCTAACAGAATCCAAAGGACAGATTGTAAATTTGGTATGAATTCAGTCAGCCTTGAACACTTAGAATAGTGTAATGGTTATCAGCGCAAATAACACCTGTTGATCCTCAAAAGGATTAACGAGGAAAACAGTCCGCAACTAAGCGGAACTACGAAACGGACCTTCGTAGTTTATCATAAAGGAAACGGAATCTTTCAAAGTATCTATGGGTGTAGTATGTAGTATGTAGTAGCCAAAATATAAGTGACCTAGTCTGAAAGCAAACCCAGTCAAATTTATCTTCCACGTTCGCTCTGCCTAGCATCAGTAAGAGGTTTGAACTACATGTATCCAACAGACGGATAGAAAATTCTGAACACTCTCGTATTAATTCGTGATACGTTAGGGGTATGTATTACCCAAACGTCTCATTTATGCTGTGACATATGAAGGCCTTACCTTTAAGCTTACCTTCAAAACCAAGTGAAGTGTGTTATTTCTCCACTACGGGTTTACACGTATTGATGGCAAACTAAAAACTGGGGGAGGGGTTCCAATCTCGTCCGAGGCACCCGTTCATTGTTTATCACTGTACTAAAACATGGCTTTCGATTTAACAACCTTCTGTACATCTATTGTGTGGACTACTTACAGGGTAGAATGGTGAGCGACTAGAAAGAGACATCATTTTTCACTGATAACCAGTGATGAATAAGTTAGTTTTAATAAAATTTATGGTAGACTTATTCCCATCGGGTTACATTTCTTTTATTGTAATTATTGAATCTTTTTCATATCAAAAGAATATGAGACTCCGATCCAAGTTTTACCTGATTCGTTGTATTTGGTCCTGTACCGAAGCATTCAGGTCATGTGATATTCACGTGGCCGGTAACCTTTCTCCACCTATCTTCACACTGGACTTGCTTTAGTATCGAGTCTACTTCCCAAATTCTCTGACCATGTCTGTCTTTCGTGAAGCTGATCAGTGAAAGTAGATTAATCATTTCATACGCGTACATATTAATCTTTGACTAAGCATATACATACATATATGTACACACACGGGGAGAGATGGTCGGTATGTACAAATACGGACATAATACATTCCAGTCTACTGTTGACTACTTGGTTGTGGCGGATAAGGTGGACTCAAAATGCGCAAACCAGCATCATGCTGGGATGAAATGGTTCTCGATGTTTGGGTGTGCGTGTGTGTGTGTGCGCACGTTCCCATATCTTGTTGTTTGGTACGTACGTTCGGTACGGCCTACTTCCAAGTGCAGACAGTGCCTGGTTCCACCTGCAGAATGCATCTGCTTACTATTGCTATACTAGCATACTCATCTACCCCTCCCTCCGTCAAGATACCCGAGTGTTCTGTTTCTCGCTTTCGCAGACTATTGTGAACTTTACCAGATGTTTTGCAGTTCTTCGAAATTCACACACACTCACACACAAATATGGACGACACAGCTGACCGGAACGATATGCAGCTTGCACGGCTTTTGTCATTCGACACAAGCGGTCGATAAATATGTATACATCCGATGGCTTCAGTGAATTGGTCAACTGAGTTGCATCGATCTTTCGTTCAAATGAGGCTGTTTATCATTATTCAAATTACTCATTCATTGAAGCTTTACCCAATGGCGTAAGTGAAATGTCATTAGGAAATCATTGGATAAAACCCTCTGAAAAGTTTTAGATCATCCTTCTAGAAGGTCACTCATCTTACTCAACTGAAATCTATAGTTAGCCAATTAATCAGAGACAATCGGCGAGTCACCGACGTCCTTAGAGCAATATAAAGCAGAACATTAACATGGAGTACCATGGTATCACTAATGATCACAGTGGTAATCATTCATTTCTTTCTTTCTCTTACATGTGGAATTCTGCATTGGTTTTCAATTACACATATAACTGAATACTTTGCTTGATATAGTCATGTCAAAATATTGCGGCAGTTTTACACAAAAATGGTCCATTTAGATTCTTCACACGACTGTAATCACAATCTGTTTTTGACATGGGCCCAGATGAGCACATCGATGGCGTCACAGTTACGATAACTTAGG